TGGAATCTGGTATAGAAATGTGGAGAATTGAGCTCTTATTGTCTATTCAGATATTGATTGGGGTGGATGTTTGGATGATTACAAAAGCACTTTTGGTTACTATTTTTCGTTTTGTTCAGGCATTTTTTCTTGGAGCACAAAGAAGCAAGATATTATAGCACAATCTTCAGCAGAAGCCGAGTATGTGGCTGTTGCATCTGCTACAAATCAAGCAACTTGGTTAAGAAAGATCTTGTTGGAATTGAATTTGTTGCCAAAAGAACCAACAGTGATCTATGTGGACAATAAATCAGCCATTGCGATGGCTGAAAATATGGGGCAGCATGTAAGAACAAATCATATTAACATAAGGTTTCATGCTTTAAGAGATGCTGAGAAGAATGATGAAGTTAAGTTGGTGCATTGCATCAATGATGATCAACATGCATATATTCTGACCAAGTCTCTTTCCACTAAGAAGTTTGAGTTTCAAAGGTTTTTGCAATGTGTTTCAAAGAAAAATCTTAAGGAGGAGTGTAAGAAAATTAAGATTTGTCTTAGAAATTCCTAGATTGGAGTTATTTTGTATTAGATATGTTAGAAGGGTGAACAAGGCCGAGCGCCTTCAAAAGTTGCTCCAGTCACCTAAAGCCTTGGCAAACTACTTCCTGGTGGTTTAGTAAGGTCTTTATGAAAAGGTGTAACTGCTCTTGTCAGAAGGCCAGTGCTACTATACTATATGGTAAAGATCTCCCACACCTGGACCAGGCTACAAACGATGAGTCTTCTCTTTTCAGGGTTAAACTATATAGAACAAGAACAATAGACTGATTGACTGTGGTCAGGAAGATTTGTCCAGAAACTCCTAGGTTGGAGATATTTGGTAGTAGATATGTTAGAAAATTATGTTTTGTCTAGAAACTCCTAGATAGTAGATATTTTGTCGTAATATATGTAGTCTTGATATAAAATGAGTGGTGGTTAGTGCGCCACATATGTACATAGTTTGGTGTGAGATATTTTGCTTATTATGTGGTTGTAATTCTCACACTTTATCTATAAATAGACCATATGTAATAAAACATCTAGTGAAAAAAATTGAACTCAAGAAAACTTAAGCCTTCTACTTCACTTTCAGATTTTCTGTAGCAATTTACAGCTGCGATTTCCTACTATTTACACCTTGTAGACCTGGAGTTCTTCTTCCATTTCTTTGTAACAATACGGGTATGATGACCAAATTATAGGCCAATACAAAGATGGTGAATGGATAAAAGAGACATCTACAATAAAAATAGAAGTTGTACATACTTTCCTCTTGTTAATCTTGAAGGTGGAAAAGGTTTCTGAAGGAGCGGAGAAATGTTGGCAAAGGTATTAAAGAAAAATAAAACATCTGATGAAAGTCATAGGGAAATACAGGTTCACATATCACGTATGAATCATAAGGTTCACATGCCACAACCATTAAGTAGATGTCCACAACTTCGAATCAACGCCAAAATGTGACACTTCCAAGAAATACAGTTCACAATCAAAACAATGATTGGAATTGAATGGAAATGACTACTCTAAGTGGTAAGAAGACTGTGGATCCACCAATGCCAGCAATAGTAGAGGACTTGAATGAGCTCGACTCTATTGAAATTGAATATATGGATGAACCTAAAGAGAAAATTGATGATGAAAAGAAACCTTAGAAGTAAAACAAAAAGCATTATGGTAAAAATGACTAAGAGAATGAATATACTTTGATCGTCACACCCATGCAACAACCTCATCCACCTTACACACAGAGGCCTGACTAAAAAGGCTTAAAAAGAGAAATGTCACAAGTTCATATCGATGTTAAAGGTACTCCAGTCAACATTTCTTTTGTTGTAAGAAAGATGGGGTGCGTGAGTTGTGAATCAGATAAAAAAAACTAAATCATTTTAGTGTAATAGCCACCCGCTCTCTTGTTTAGAAAAAAAGGATCCTAGAGCATTCACCATCCCATGTATTATAGGAAATTTGAATTTTTCTAAGACTCTATGTGATTTGGGTGCTAGCATAAATTTGATGGCATTAACAATATTTTGACAGAGAATCTTGGGAGCCCCTATACCGACGTCAATACGGATAATTATGGAAGAATGTATAGTGAAAAAGCCAGTGGGTATTCTTTATGATGTTCCTGTAAAAGTTGAGGCATTCATATTCCTAAAAGATTTGTTTATCCTTGATTGTGAGGTTGATTTTTAGTTCCCTATCATATTGGGGTGAAAATTCCTTACTATCAGGTGTTCTTTGGTTGTTATGGAAACATGGAAGATGAATTTTAGATTGTATAATGAAGAGGTAATTTTAATATCTACCCATCGATGAAGCATCCTTGTGAGTTCATGGTGGTTTCACTCATTGATCTGGTTTCAGTCATTGATCTAGTCGATGTAGAGAAAGAAGAGGCACCTATTTAGGAGAGGTTTGGAGTTAAAATAATTGTGGAAGTGATCATGAATTTTGATAGAGAAGACATTGTAGATTATAAGGAGATGGTTGTTACACTTCCTAGTATGGGAAACTACACTTATGCACACAAGAAGCTTGACTTGGACTTGGAAAATAAGGTGACGCCACCTAAAGACAATCCATTGACGAACCTTAAGTATTAGAGCATAACGCTCTACCCTCTCACTTGGGGTATGTTTTCTTGGGCACCAATAATAGTTTACTGATTATCATAGCGACAGATAAAAAAAAAGGAAGTGAAGGCTATGACCTCTTTGTTGACGTGTTTTAAGAGGGACATTTGATTGTCTGTTGTGGATATTACAGGCATTCCACCAACTATATATTCTCAAAAATCCAACTTATGTTGGAGTGTAAATCAAATATTGAGCACAAGCGCAAGCTAAATCCACCTAGGAAAGAAGTCATCAAGAAAGAGATTATCAAGTGCTAGGATGTTGTAGGGGTTTATCCTATTGTATAGAAAAATGGATAAGTGAAGTTCAATGTGTGTAGAAGAAGGGAGGAATCAATATTGTGCTGAATCCAAAGAATGATCTTATTCCAACGAGGAAAGTTAGAGGTTGGACTGTGTGCATGGACTATAGAAAAATGAATGTGTGGACCGAAAAAGATCAGTGTCCAATGCCATTCATTTATCAGATGCTATATCATCTTGCGAGTGAAGGATGATATTATTTTTTATGGTTATTTGAGTTACAATGTGTTGTTACGTGTCTCAGGATCGGCTTTGAATGGGTCAGAGACTTCAACTGATTATTAGGAGATTAGTTTTCTTTTAGTCATTAAAGTATTAACTAGTTATAGTTGTTCTTATTTTATAGGCATGTTAGCAGTTATTTAGCAGTCCATGTTCTGTGTAAGTTGTACTGCCCCTCTACTTATTTAATCAACTTGAAGTTGAATACAAATTATTCTTCAGTTTCAATTCATTTTGTTCTTTCAGTTAATTAATAACATTGATATCAGAGCCGTACTTCTTAAGGGACTTCTGTGAGACTTGCGAGGTTCTTTTCTGAGTGTTTATCAAAATAGTATTCTCTGCAAAACATCATTAAAACAATGGAGAATGCAGACTCTTTTTCTGCTATTGCTGCACTAGTTTTCGATGGAGAAAACTATCAAGCCTGGGCAGTGAAAATGCAAGTTTATTTGCAGGCTAGTGATTTGTGGGAGTCTGTTGAGGAAGACTACGAAGTGCATCCTCTGCCAGGGAATCCAACTATGGCTCAGATTAGAACCCACAGGGAAAAGAAGACAGAAAAATCCAAAGGTAAATCTTGTCTCTTTGTTGCAGTTTCTGCCACCATTTTCAGTAGAATAATGACATGCAACTCACAAAAAGCAATTTGGGATTTCCTCAATAAAAAGTACGAGGGAGATGAAAGAATTAGAGGAATGAAAGTACTGAACTTGGTTAGAGAATTCGAGATGCAGCGTATGAAGGAACCAGAAACCATTAAGGATTATTCTAATAGGTTGCTTGGGATTGCCAATAAAGTAAGGATACTTGGAAATGAACTTACTGATAATAGAATAGTTCAAAGGATACTTGAACTTTACCTGAGAGATATGAGGCAACTATTTCTTCATTGGAAAATACTAAAGATTTGTCTACGCTTAGCTTGGCAGAGTTATTGAGTGCACTGCAGGAACAAGAACAACGAAGAATGATGACGCATGAGGGATCCATTAAGCGAGGCTTGCAAGCCAAGTTGTAGTTCGGTTCAAGTGCCAAGGGAAACAAAATAAAATGAATGAAAGGAAACCATGGAAACTACGAAGCGACAACAACGACAAATGGTATTGCTGCAACAAAGAGCAACAAAGAAGGCAAGTATCCTCCCTACCAACATTGTGCGAGGAGAAATCATCCACACTTCAAGTGTTGAAGAAAATTTAATGTGAAATGTAGAAAGTGTCAGAAGTTCGGTCATGCTGAGATTATCTTCAAAGAGAAGGGATTACGACAACCAAATGATGCACATATTGCAGACCAACAAGAAGAAGAGCAACTATTTGTGGCCACCTGTTTCGCAAGCAAAAACTCAAGTGAAAGTTGGCTTGTTGATAGAGGTTGTACGAACCACATGACCAGTGATGACAAGCTTTTCAAAGAACTTGATTGATCAGTTAAATCAAGAGTCAGGATTGGAAATGTAGAATACCTCCCAGCAAAAGGAAAGGGGACCATAGCAATTGAAAGTTACAAAGGTACAAAACTTATTTATGAAGTCTTATTTGTTCCTGAAATTCATCAGAATTTATTAAGTGTTGGGCCACTCCTAGAAAATGGATTCAAATTATTTTTTGAAGATAAAGCCTTCCTGATCAGCTATCCTAGTGGTCAGGAAATATTCAGAATTAAAATGTAGGAAAAAGGTTTTTCCTTGAATCCATTGAACGAGGAACACATAGCTTTTCCAAGCCAGCTCACTGTAGCGAAAACGTGGCATAAAAGGTTGAGGCACTTTCATCACAATGCTTTATTGTTTATCCAAAGGAGCAAAATGGCAAATGGTTTACAAAACTTGGAGGAGAACCCCTCAGGTTGTAAGGCTTGCGTACTTGGCAAGCATACTAGACTTCCATTTAAAAGTTCCACTTGGAGAGCTACATAAAAGTTGCACTCATTCACACCGATCTTTGTGGTCCACAAAGAACACTATCTGGCACCATGTATTATATTATCTTCATTGATGATCTAACAAGAATGTGTTAGATTTATTTTATGAAGTTTAAGTCCGTAGCTGATGGAATTCTTATGAAGTTCAAAGCTTGGATAGAAAATAAGAGTGGCTGCAAGATTCAGGTCATTAGGTTAGATAATGGAACTGAATATACCTCGGATATGTTCAATTCTTGTTGTGAAGAAGCTGGAATTGAGCACCAGCTTACTGTCCCTTATTCTCCACAACAAAATGGAGTGAGTGAGAGAAAAAATAGAACAATCATGTAGATGTAGAGATGCTTGTTGCATGAGAAGAATCTACCAAAGAAGTTTTTGGTTGAAGCAGCTAACACTATTGTTTTGTTACTGAATAGACTGCCTATGCGGGTAGTGGAAGGAAAGAATACATTTGAGGAATGGTATGGTGTCAAACTTGTTTTGAAAAACCTCAAGATATTTTGATGTCTATGTTTTCCTTATGTTCCACAAGTTAAGAGAGAAAATCTAGATAAGAAGGCAGATTTGAGAATCTTCATTGGCTATAGCTTATTTTCTGAAGCTTATAGGATCTTTCAACCTCAATCAAACAAGATTATGGTAAGTAGAGACGTTCAACTCCTTAAAGATGAGCAATGGGAATGGAATGAGGAGTCTCAAGTTAAAAACCATAATTCACAACTTGATTATGATGACTTGGTGGATGATCAACCTATTAGGGGAACAAGGTCACTCTCTGATATTTATGAGAGATGCAATGTTGTTGTTTTTGAACCTGCAGGGTATGAGGAAGAAAAAATGGATCAAAATTTGACAAATGCAATGAAGGAGGAGCTGACCGTGATAGAAAAGAACCAAACTTGGAAGCTCGTGGAAAGACCCTAAGATAGAAAAGTTATTAGAGTTAAATCCAGATTGTTTGGTAAACAAGCACAAAGCAAGATTGGTGGTGAAAGGCTATGCACAAGTTTGGGGAGTAGATTTTTCTGATACTTTTGTCCTAGTAGCCAGATTAGATACAATTCGGATGCTTTTGGCTATTGTGGCACATAAAAATTGGAAGATTTTTCAAATGGATGTGAAGTCTGCTTTCTTGAATGGTCTACTACATGAAGAAATATATGTTGAGCAGCCAGAAGGGTTCAGCGTACCAGGACATGAAGATATGGTTTATCTGTTTAAAGAAAGCTCTATACGGACTAAAGCAAGCTCCTAGAGCTTGGTACAACCGAATGGATAATCATTTGCTAGACTTAGGCTTCGAAAAAAGCTTAAGTGAATCGATTCTGTATGTCAAGAAAGTTGCCTCTAACATTATTATTATTTCTCTATATGTCAACGATTTACCTGTGACAGGAAATAATACAAGGCTGACTGAAGAATTCAAGGAGGAAATGATGGAAGTCTTTGAGATGACTGATCTTGGCGAGATGACTTATTTTTGGGAATGGAGATCAAGCAAACTCAAAATGAAGTTTTTGTTTGTCAAAATAAATATATGAAGGAGATTCTAAAAATAATTAGAATGGAAGAATGCAAGAGTGTGAGTACTCCAATGAATAAAAAAGAAAAGCTGAAAAAGGATGATGGAGCTGAACTAGTTGATGAAGGAGTATATCGAAGCTTAATGGATGCTAATGTATCTCAAAACAACAAGGCCTTACATCTTGTTTCATGTTAGTGTTTTATCCAGGTTTTTAAATTGTGCAAGTGAGCTGCACATGATGGCCGCCAAAAGAGTAGTTAGGTATCTTAAAGGAACTCTAATCTATGGCATAGGATTTAGCAAAAGTCTGAATTTCAAACTCCATTGATATTCTGATAGTAATTGGGGCAGGTCAACTGGTGGTATGTAAAGTACGTCTGGTTATTGTTTCACTTTTGGATAAGGGTGTTTATCATGGTGCTCAAAGAAACAGGAATAGTAGCAGAATCAACAACTGAAGCAGAATTTATCGCAGCAGCAACCACTGTTAATCAAGCACTATGTCTTAGGAAAATTTTGATCGATTTGCAGTTGGAGAAAGCAGAGAGCACTGAGATCCTTGTGGATAATCAAGTTGCTATAGCCATATCCAAAGATCCTGTGTTTCATGGAAGGACCAAGCACTTCAACATCAAGTTTTAGTTCTTGAGAGAAGAGTAGAAAAATGATGAAGTGGTTTTAATCTATTGCAAATGAGAGAATTAAGTGGCAGACATTTTTACAAAGTCATTTAATGTTAGCAGATTCGAATTTCTTAGAGAAAAGTTGGGAGTTTGCAGCTCCTGTTTCAGGAGGAGTGTTGTTACGCGTCTCAAGATCTGCCTTGAATGGGTCAGAGACTTCAGCTGATTATTAGGAGATTAGTTTTATTTTAGTCATTATCCTATTAACTAGTTATAGTTGTTGCTATTTTATAGGCATGTTAGCAGTCATTTAGCAGTCCATGTTTTGTGTTAGTTGTACTGCCCCTCTACTTATTTAATCAGCTTGAAGTTCAATAAAAAATATTCTTCAGATTTCAATTCATCTTGTTCTTTCTGTTAATTAATAACACAATGAGATATTGATTGCACCAGAAGACTACAAGAAGAACACTTTCACCTATATATATGGAATATTTGTGTTCAAGAGGATGCCATTAGGATTGTGTTATGCACCAGTGCTATTTTAAGTGTTTTATGATATTGATATTCTCAGACACAGTGGAGGATAAGATTGAGGTATTCATGAATGATTTATCAGTGTTAGGTGATTCTTTTGATAATTGCTTAGCCCATTCAGGTGATGTGCTAAAAAGGTATAAAGAATGCAATCTTGTGCTTTACTAGGAGAAATGTAACTTTATGTTGAAATAAGGTACAGTTCTTGGCCACCAAAAATATAGTAAAGGTATTGAAGTTGATAGACCATAGATTGATGTGATCTAAAATTTCCTCCACACATCACTGTAAAGGGTGTGAGAAGTTTCCAGGGACATGCTGTCTTTTATAGTAGATTAATCATAAAATTCTCAAAAATTGCACACCTATAATGGATATTATTAGAGAAGGAGCTGGAGTTTGGTTTTTTATTATAATTGTATGAATGTGTTTGTAGGACTGAAGGAGAAGTTGATCTCTCGTCCCATTATTATCACACTATATTGGTCTCAACAGTTCGAGGTTATGTCTAATGTTAGTACAGTTGAACTTGGTGTAGTCTTTGTGTAGAGACGTGAGATGATTTTACACCCCATATGTTATGCCATAAAATCTCTAAATGTTGCTTATAGTGGTCTTTGCATTCATGAAATTTAGATCTAATTTTCTTGGGACCAAGTCAATGTATACACTTATTAGGTAGAACTTTGGCACCTGATGGAACAGAAGGATGCTACACTAAGACTGATTCAATGGGTGTTGTTTTGGCAAGAGTTTTATTTTGAGGTAATAAACCAAATGGGAATTGAAAATCAAGTAGTTGGTCACTTATCCAAGTTGGAAGAAACATTAATGCTGAAGTTAACAAGTGGGGTTAATATAAATGAAACTTTCCCATATGATCAAGTATTGGTTGCATCACCTGACTTGATATTGTGCTTCACACAGTTTGCTTAATATTTAGTTATTGATGTTATCTTTTTATTTGTCTTTCCCCCTACACCAAATGTTTCTGTCAGATGTGAGGAAATTTTTGTAAGAGGAGCCATACTTGTTTGTGGTAGATACTGATGGCATTGTGTGTCACTACATACTTCTGGTAGAGATGATGTGCATATTGCAGGTATTTTAATCCACTTCCAATTGGAGAGCATCATAATAGTATCTATGCCGCCTATATATTCTACAATGTGGGTGGGTACTATTGGCACACAATCCAACATCAGGCTCATGCTTTTTTAAAATTTTGTGATCATTGGCAAAGAGAATGATGTATATCAAGGAAACATGAGCTCCCCCTCACTCTTATTTTTGTAATTTAACTGTTCAAAATGGGGTGCATTGATATTATGGGCCCATTTGTGAGTTCTAATTAGGTAAAATGCATACTTGTGAAAATAAATATGTGTCAAAATAGGGTTGAGGCAGTCATAACATTCTTGAAGCGATATATCGAATCCAATTTGGTACGCCGTGGGAAATTAGAAGTGATGGAGGTTCTAACATTTCCAACATTTGGTTTCGTGTTCTACTTGATAAATATGGGGTAAGATACAACTGCCACGAACTGGGGCTACCCCCTAGGAGTAACATGGCGTACTTGACCCCGAAGGGGTCTCGTACAAGCCCTTAGCTTTCATCCACTTTGGAGCCATAGAATGTAGAGGGATTCATTCTTGTGAAATCCCTAATTGTTGAAGTGGTTGTACTTGCATTGGAATTCTCATGAGCTCTAGCATCCCTAGTGACTTGAGTCGTCAAACCATGAGTCAATGTTTGGTGAGCCGACCTTATCTCCACATTAGTCATATCCCCCTCTTCATTAGGAGCTTGAGGATCTTGAGGAGCTTGGGGAGGAGCACCCTCATTGACATTCTCCTCTTGCGTCCTCCTTGCATTTCCTCTTCTTGTATTCATTGCCTAAAATCACAACAGAAGGATTAGGAAAGGACTTCATAGAGTTAGGACTCCAAGCACGACTAAAGAGTAATGAAACAAGTGAAAGTTCCTAAACATCTTATAGCCTCTCATTCGTAAGTGTGGCACATTTCACACTCATGAACAAGACTCTACTAGAAGTGGTTCATGAGACATCAACCTAAGTATTATCCCGAAACCTTATGCTCTGATACCAAGTTTGTCACGACCCGGGTCTACCCCCTACGAGTAACATGGCATACTTTACTCAGAAGGGGTCTCGTACAAGCCCTTAGCATCATCATAACATAAAGACATAGAATAATTGCAGAAAATTTAAAACTTTTACAATAGAAGTCAACTTCTTCTTCTTAGATGAAAGTAGGAATCTAGACTTGTCTCAATCACTATCTAGTACATAAAGAATACAAATAGGGTCAAAATCCCTTTACATCAATATAGTCCCAGAAGTGGAAAGTACATAAAAAGATAGAAAATAGAAACATATTGTCCTTGAACTTGAGGACTCACCAAGCTTAAGGAATAGTCAACCCAAGCTTCACTTGAAGAAAATGATATGTCTCAACGGCCAGAACCTACACTCATAGAATGTAGAAAATAGGAGTTAGCACAATAAATTGTACTAAGTATGGAAGCCATGCACAAAATCCTTAAAATATGCAAAAAAGGGACATTGAGTTGAAATCATGCCTTTATATGGTTTGAAAGCCATAATGCACATTTAAGAAGCAACATAAGTCAAACCAACATATAAGCAACCCAAAGCCATACTAGTGCAATGCAAAGGTAAGATCCCATAACCCTACCAAATGTGAAGTATCACACTTAGGTCAACCACAACATACATATCTTACTTTACTTTATTCACATCTAACATACATAAGTAAGGAGTCATTCATATTCATAACTTGTAACAAGTGAAGTCAACCTTAACATTCATACATACCTTTCATACATAATTAATAAGCCTTCGTAACATAAGAGAACCTCACCATGACCCCTCTTAGAGTCTACTTGTGCAATATCTAAGTGAAGACCCATACCCCCACTCATGCTAAGTAATACCCATTAAGAAGTCATAATTTAAGTTCATGTTCTTATCATAGTTCATATTGATATGATATAGGGAAAATAGCATTAACCGACATAGACCATGTGAGCTACATGGAATCCGGTGTTTTACCCCCATACCGAAAAGAGGTGTCCTACTTGCCTAAGGTAGAACTTTCATAATAGCTTTTAGGTGGATCCACTAGCTAAAACCTATGTGGGTACATAGTTATGGGATAAGTAGATTGCTTTTAGAAACCTTGACGATTAAC